TTCTTCTCTCTCTCTGCTCTTCTCTTTACTTCCCATAATTTATTTCTGCATCTTTTCCTGATGCTTTATTAGCCATGTGTATTAAGTAAAAGCCCAACTACCCAGCATTCAACTAACCAGAAAGCTCAAGCAATCGAAATATTTTAGAAAGGTATTTTCCCAAAACATTTTGGAAACGAGTTATTTGTAACATCATTATAAGAGCTCGAAACACTATTAACATGTATACATTGGCAACAAACAGCATGATATAGCATCATGACATTGCAACAAAGTCATAAGATGTTCATTTAGATTTAAGTTAAGTCTGATTACTTCTTGATAAGCCAGTTTAATTATTGTGAAGAATGATTTAAGTTCTGTTTTCTCTACTATTTGGGGGGGAGGAGAAAGAAAAGAAATTAATAATTGGAACTGCATGAAGTGAAGTATTTTTAAAGTAACAGGTTCCAGGCATCAATAAAAGCCACAAAAAGTGACTCTGAAAACATAAACTGACAATGAAAAAATTTATGATACTTTTATATATGCTGTATCCGTAATTCTAACTAAATGAAGAATGATCTGTTTAAATTTCTGCAATAGTTTTTATAATTTTAGGGTGGAAATATTCCCCTCTTTTTTTAAACTATGTTTTTTATACACTCAACCATCCAGAATTTTCATATCTGTTGGATTCAACATTTCCGAAGCTTTAGGGACAGTCGAGCTTTTACTATATCTATTTCATCGTACTTTACTGATACAGAGTCTCTAAAATGTTTCATTATAGCTTATTTAATTTCATCCTTATGTTTCTGCTCTTCAGAATCCATAATACCAATAACTTCTTTAAAAACTTTTCTCAGTAGGAATATCATAAACTTCCTTTTCTGACATATCCATTTAGTTGCCAATAAAATATTTTTCATTACAAAAAGTTTCTGTTATGTATCCTGGATAGCAAAAACCAGATATATTTTAGCTGCTGAGGAAAATTCTCAGTTGATACAACCTGACTACAGTAATTTGCAGAGACCGGACTCAAATTCGGATGTGAATCAAAAACCTTCTCGCACAGGCAGAACTATACGTTTACCTGTTAGATTCAAGGACTGACTAAATTATTTTGATAGTGGTTAACACTGCAATACTAGTTACTACCTATTTCTCCATCTTCGTAACGTAACTTAGTTACTGGTGGGGGAGTAGTGTAGTGGCCCAGTTATTGCATGAGAAATAATTATTTTTTATTTCATATATTTGTTCATGTGTTTAATTATTTTATAAAATTAACTTTAATATTTGTTAATATATTATATTTTATGTTAATATTCATATTTATATTTAAATTTCTTTATGCTGAATGGCAACTAGTTCTAGTTCTGATTCATGATTGCTAGGTTTTGGTTTCAAAACGTTGCTCGTAGCGTCGCATTTCGATAGCTGGAAAATAAAATGCAATAACTTAGCTATTTGTTTATAATTCATGCTGTTACTAGTCATAAATTAATTTTAAACATTAGTAGCCAAGGCTACACTTTTAATTCAAAACTTAAATTTTAATACAAAAAGTCTAAATTGATTTTTATTTAGATCACATTTTATAATTTTATAAAAAAACGGCTTAATATTTATTGTTTACTTATAACATTTCTTCATGCAATTTTAAATTGCTTTGTTTTTGTGCTAATACTTTCTCTTTAATTCTATAAAACAGACATAATTTCTTGTTCAATTACAAAGTTCCACTGTTCAAGTCCTGTAAATTGCTGTGTCGAGAATACTGACTAACTTGTCAATCAAAATCTTTTCGTTTTCAATAACTTCTCTGTCACTTTCTTCACTATCGGTATTTTCTGAATCTAGAACCATACTATGGGTTTTGCCATACTACAGATTAATTATTTGATGACTGGGGCATAGTCATCGTAATGAAAAACGTTGTTATATCATCTTCATTTATTATCACTTCTTCGCATTTCTGTACAAAATACATTAACTGGAAAATTTCACCTGTAGTTTGTGATATTCAAAAGCCTTCAAATTCGCGGTTATCATCTTCATCGTCCTCACCATGAAATATGGTAGCTGGCCATAAATTATGCTGAGCAGTTTTTTAACGTATCTGGAGACACATCCTTCCATGATCTTGCGATGCTCCACACAGCAGATTTTGTGCTAAAATATGTCAAAAATTCTTGAATATTCTTACCATTGTTCAAGAAATTTAACATTGATTTTAAAAATGCTACTTTATATTTGCATTTCAGCGCCCTAACTATTCTGATATCCATAGGCTGAATGACAGACATACAAAAATTAGAGAGAATAATAATATAGATACATTATCTTTCACTAAAACTTTAAGTGAAGTATGAGCTAAACAGTTGTCTACAATCAGGACTATTTTTGAGTCATCAGATAAACCAGCCAAATTCAAATGTTACCGATCGTCAGGTATAAAATTATTTTTAAACCAATCGTTCATTAACGCTTGTATCATCCATGCTCTTTTATTTGCAAGATGTATAACAGGGAAAATCGTTACTCTTTTAAATGCTCGAGGTCGGGCATGTTTTCTGATTACAGAAAGTTTACTTTATAAAAAACTTCTCATCCCTTAAAATTTTGCCGCTCGGCGCTTCCCCAAATTCTAAAAATTTTGTCTTCCCTAAATTCTGCTGTGCGCTGATGACACATTTTGCCGTCGCTTCTGGGTTTATGGTGAATAACATGTGTATTATATTCTTAATTAGAATAGCGCTAAATGTAACCTTTGGGCCTATGAGTTTCATTAGCAAAATCTATTTTTAGCATATGAAAAGAAAATTTTGTTGAATTTTTCCTCGTCAACATCTCTTAAAGCACTTAAAATTCTATAATCGTCGCCAAGCGGAATGTTTGCATAAAAGGTTGCCATATATACATCACTGCATGAGTTGTTACTGAAGCTGTCATGTATTGGTATTGATAAACATGCGGTGATGAAAGCAAAATAAAAAAAAAAATAATAACTTGTCAGTTAGGCGTCAGGGATGTAAAATAGGTGAATGTTTCAGTTTGAGATGTATGCCAAGCAGACACTCGGCTATGGAGCCAAATTATTGATCTCGCAAATTAATGCTTATGTGATCGTTTTTCTATAACGAGGTATTTGCAAGTGCCCATAACAAGGTGAAATTAAAAATCAAAATTTTTAAGTGAAAATCTCCATGTTTTACTATGGAAGGAAAAGTCAAATGCGCATGCGTAGATCACACACACACACACACACACACACACACACACAAAAAAAAAAAAAAAAAAAAAAAGTGGGAGGTCCGGATTTAAATCATTCCGGGTAATGGACGTCTGTATTTCGGACTTTGTACTGTATAACATTTCAATAAGATGCCTCAGTTGTTGTGTGTTAGACAACCATTTTTCATTGATCAGCTGTCTAATAGAGGTATGGATAAGACTGCCGAGCAGCCCACCAGTCTCCAAATCCCTGAACAGTGGTAGTTTGGCCTGGATTCAATTCGAGGCAAATGAGTATTTGTGTTATAAGTTATTTCTCCTGTCTTCTTACCAAGCCTTTGTGGTGTAATGGTCTGCACGCTCAGCGCGTAATTGAGAGGTCTTTGGTTCGATTCCCAGCGAAGGCGTTGCTTAATCTTTCATCTCTCCGCCTTTTTCAAATTACCTAATGTCTCTACGGTGGCACCCAAACTAAAATTGTGTGGGATGGTGATTCTCCTCACCCAGGATTTGGCAATTGGGTCCCCTAAAAATCCCAGTCGCCTTTTTAAAGGGGGAGTATATAAGGTATTTCTCCCACCTTCTTAGCAAGCCTTCGTGGTGTAGTGGTCTGTACCGCTCAGCACGTAATTAAGATCCGCGTTTCGATTCCCGGCGAAGGCGTTGCTAATTTTTCATCTCTCTGGCTTTTCTAAATTACCTAATGTTTCTACAGTATGCTTTATAATAAAATAAACCTGAACTTAGACTACTGAGTGTTGTTGGTAGTTTCATTATAGCTTTAGTTTCTAGTAGGGATATTAGGTAAAATATTGTACTTTCCTGATTCTTCATAATGCAAGATGTAAATATGAGCTAATGTCCTTGCTTGTACTAAGACATTCTGACAGTAGAAGGCATCTCATGCAGATATAACTATATAGAATATAAATATAGGATACTATACTTATGTTTAGTTACTTAAATGTAAATGTTGGAATGGTTCCAACCTCCTCATATGATGCCCATTTACTGCCGAATTACCCACACCTCTAGACAATTTTATTTAGTTTTCATGTACTTCACTAAGATACTCTTACAAAGCATATTCGCTTATATAAAGTATACCATCTTATTCATCTCATCAAGGGCACAAGTCTCTTTTTACTGCTGAAATTCAATCTCACATGCACATATAGAGCATTTTTCTCAAAAACAGTCCTAACAAGATAGATATGATATTCATGATAATAAATCAACCTTTTTCCATTTTCTAAATTCAAGCAGTATTATTGTACTATATGTGGGTTCCCATCTTTAAGATAAATATTTTTTGTATATGTTGTAGTTATTTCTCACTGAATTTATGATTATTTTGCTTATAGTTAATATTTAATGAGAATAATGATGTGCTATATATTTTGGGGGGTGATAACTCATCTCACTAAAAAGGATTTTTATTAAGCATAAAAAGCGAACTATGCATTATGAATTGCTCTTATTTTTATAATTTATTTTAATAGCTTTTATATTCTTAAATGAAATAATCTCAGAACTAATCTTGGAACTCGATTTTTGTAATAATTTTTTATATTATTCTGGTTCTTTGAACCTTTTTTTTTCCTAGAATTCTGATTAAACATTTTTGTATTTTTAATTCAATTTTTCCATTTATAAAGATTTCATTGTTTTTGTAACTAATTTAATATTTAATCACTGTAAAAAAAGTTGTAAGTTGGAAATATGTTGTTCAAAATATGGAATGCCATTTCATCTAATATTTATTTTGTCAATTGCAGTTCTTCAAATTGTTGTTTTGGATAATGAAGTGGAACTGGCAAAATGTATACCGAGAAAAATTGTTACAACGTTATTCAGATGTTGCTTCACAAATACTGTTTCAATAGAGATAAAAGAATGCAATCCGTATCTCTGAAAGCATGTGTTTTGGGCTTCATATATAAATACGGTGAATTATATTTTCTGCTTACCGGAAGCTAGGTTTAAAATTAAAGACTAATGCCTATTTTTGTCCAGAAATTAACTTTATAATATATCATGGTGCTAGAAATGCCTATTTCTCACTTATTTTAAATTGTATTTGACTTTTTGAATGCATTGTATAATACTAGAAATTTGCATAATCTCCAGCAAATGAGTGCTGTTTGAAAAGGCATTAAGAAGGCATCTGCATTTTCAAATGTTTTTAGTTTTGTTGACATGATGCTGGGAGTTCTCAGCACATTCCTGTTTTACTTTTGGAACTCTATTTCTCAGGAATGTCCCATCTAGGCTCAGGTGATCAATGTAAAGGGGAGAAGACACAGAGCTATGTTAGTAGTCAAGCACCTCGTGGATACCTTGGTAGTAATGTTGAACTTTTTAATTCAGCCCATCATGATGGTAACTTTGGTGAAAATGTGGCAGGGAAAGATTTGGAAGATGTGAAACATCGGCGTGATCATGAACAATATAGAACTGTGAGTGGTGGATCACGGCATTCGGATTATCAAGTTCGAGAGCCCATGAATCCTGCAGCTGCTGCTGCATCACACACTGCAGCTGCTGCAAATGCTGCAGCCGTATACTCTAGAGTAGCTATTGTCCCACAGCATGGTCGAGCAACAGGTCCTTCACCTCACTTTGATTCATATGGGCTTTCTTCACATATACCTCCACCTCCTACTTCAACGGGGCATCATCATTCAACACCCGTCCATTCTTCAGTGTACCGACACGTACTGCCTCACCATACGTTACTTCCAGGACAATATAATAATTCTGGTAATGCTCCAGTTGGCCTTGAGGTCATGTGGCAACCAAAGTTTAATGCAAATCCTTGGCTTATGGCTCAACAGTATGAAGAAATGAGGTTCGAGAAAGAAATGAGAGAGCGGACGGCAGCATCTCACGAGAGAGAGAGGTAAGATTATGCCCATCTTTTCATTGTTAGATAAATCTGTATTTATGGTATTAATATTGCATTATTGAGTACACTTTTCATTAAGTTAGCACTAATATTCTTTTCTTAATACTTTTATTGCAATTTAATTGAAAAAAAAATTTAAGAAGGCGTACATGTTTACATGTTTCAATTTTCATATACATTGTGTTCAAAACAGGAAAATAAGAAAAAAATTATTTCTTAAATTTTATGAAAGGCAACGTTTTTTGGGGTTGTGTTACATATATCGATTTGTTTTGATAATACTTATATTAATAATCTGCTAATTCTAAAAAGAATTATTTAAATAAAAAGCACACATTTCAAACAACATTTGATAAAGTTTAGAGGTTTCACTACTCGGTGACTAATTAAAATTGTACAGATTAAAAATTGATTATTCTGAGACAGTTAATACAGTCAAAAGTCTTTAATCCGGACTCGTCGGGACTTCGGCGATTCCTGATTATAGATCATCAGTTAAAATCTGGTAAGATGGCATGCAGAAATTATAAAATTAAAAATATGAAACCGTAATTTATGAATTAAAGAACAATTATGATCTAAAGGGTATCAAAGTTTACAAAAAAAAAAGCTTACAAAAAATATTTGTTTACTTTATTAAACATTTCTTTCAATGTGCGCATGCGTAAAGCATTCATTACGCATAGTCAAAATTAGAAAATTGCAACCAGAAAACTATTTGATGTGTATTCGTGATATTTATAATAACGAGGAATTTGATTTAAATCACATCAAAGACTGAGTACATCGAGATGAAATACTACATTTAGTAAGGAATTATAAGCTAAAGTAAAAACATCTGCCCTGAAGATAAGGATAGTGCTGACAGATCAACTTTCAGTTCATTGCGCACCACGACGTTTCCCCCCGCAGAGCAGTGTGAAATTGAGAAACAGATTTCGGAATATATAGAAAAACAAAGGATATGCCTTTATCCATTTTTTGCAGCAATTCCATTTTTGTTTGATGGACATCGAAACATTCTTTCGCTTTGTAGATCTTTTAGTAGCTCCAGAATCGGAAATTCTTTTTGACATAATCGAAAGTTCAAGCTTACTTTTATAAAATTGCTCTAACAGTCTGCAAAAAATAATAAGCCTGATCCAATTAGAAGATTAAGGAACAATGCAATCTGCAACATTAACTGAAATAGATAATTAGATAATTTTAGCTTAGCTTATTTAGTCCATTGCACATTAAACACGCATGCATAAACATATTATGCGTATGCGTTAACGCATTATGCGTTGATGCATGCACAGAAAGTTTGTAGCTTTGAGGTTCGGATTATAGATCATTCCGGATTATGGACGCCTGGATTAAAGACTTTTGCCTGTATATCAAAGTACTTCTGAATTTTTCTGATTAAGGTGTTTAAATATTTGGTACTAGGTGTACCCGCCCGGCGTTGCCCGTGCATTTAGAAAATGCAGATAAGTGAATAGCGCAGGAATAGTAGTGTAGGACATGTAGACTGTCTCTCTCTCTTCCCCCCCCCCAAGCTACAAAAAAGAAATGAATTGTAATTAATCGATTTAATGTATCGTCAAAACAGCAAACTAACGCTAGAATAAAGAAATCAATTGTTACAATCGAACGTTATTTGAAAACAACAAATAATATCAGTTGAGTCAAAAAAACCGTGATTAAATTAATTATAAATAATTTTTTTAAAATTTTTTCTAATTCGAAAATCGAAAATCGGGCTTCGAGGTCTGGTGCCAGCCCCTTTGTGCTTCCGTTATAAAAAATTCCAGGTCCCTGCGTGCGATAGATTTGGCTGGAGAGCTCGGTCAGACAGACAGACAGACACATTACACTTGCTTTTATTATTATAAGATGTGTTTCTTTGTAAAGCATGTTACTGACATTCTTGCCCTCTTTTTGGGTTTATTAGAGACCATGAAAGACTGGAACGGCAGAAAGAAGAAAGAGCAGAAAAAGAAAGACAGCGTGAATGGCAAGAACAAGAAAGGCTTGACCGTGAAGAAAGGGAAAGAGCTCAGAGAGAAGCTGTACAGCAACACTTTGAGGAATCACTTCGCTTGGCTTTACAAAAAGTATGCTTTTTAAATTTCATATTTTTAAATGTTTAAAAATCTTAATTTAACAAATAGCAAAAATTTTATATTTGTTTTTAAATTACTGTCCAAGGGATCTCAAGTTTTTAAATTTCTTCTTTTTTAAATAATGAAGATTATAATTATTAAATTGATGTTTTTTTTTGGAGGGGAAAGGGGCACCTTTACTACATGAAATTTGGTACCTTTTCTAACTCTCAACTCCAGTTTTACATTTTACTGAAAATACAAGTTGTATTTTGTCAGCAATGAGTTGAGTTTATTTCTGAGAAAATTTTAAATTGGCATTTTTCAAATTATGAATTATATTCTCCTCTCCCCCCAAAATTGTGTAAAAATTGTACAATCTGAATTTTATTCCGATTTATGTATGTTTATAAAGTTTTGAAATATTATCAAAAATCATGAACTTAGTGAAAGAAGTAATTTATTCATTTTCAGCAGCAGCAGCAGCAGCAACAACAGCAGCAACAACAGCAGCAAAAAACTATGGGTTGGAATTCTATGTCTGCTCATAAGAGTGCCATTGCTAAAGGAAGAGAGAGCAGTCCAACCATCAGCTTATCAAGTCAGTCTACACGAGTTTCTGATAATGAAAGGCTTAGAGAGCAAGAGAAAGAAAGGTAATATATTTCATGTATTTCTCAGAAAGATTGGTTTTGTTTTCACATTGCTTACTGCTTTGCTGATTTCCACATTTCTTTACATCCTAATTACTGTCATTTGGTTTACTATTCCTTTGTATGTTATAATTATTTTCACTGTGTATATTTATCATGCCATTGAATGTAAACTGTTTTTGTAAATTAATACATCTTAAAGGATGTTTTTAACCATCTTGAGTGGCCATCTATTTGGTTCTACTCTTAAAGAAGTCTATTCAAACAGCTATTAGGTAAATTTGTATGATTACTTCTGTTTTTATAAATTTCCCTTCATGAAGATGTAATTTACATCGTTATAGAATATAAGAAAATAAATTATAATCTATATATAAGGAGAAAATTTCATGAATGGATAAAGGTGTTCGGGCCACTCAGATTGTTCATATCATATTTTGCTTTTTTTGAACATGTAATTAACCTCACATATTATTTTTTAATAAAAAACATTAGTAGTTTACTTTTTATTCTGATTGAAGCTCCATGCTCAGAATTGTTGCTTCTGTTGGAAGTTAAAGTTTAAAAGAAAACTTTTGAAACACACACACAAAATCTTATAAAATTAAAATTCAGTGATGAATTATGTATTTCTACACTGAATTTAAAATAAGAGATGAATTTACATGAAATTCATTTTACTTCCACAATTATTATTTTGTTACCCAAATGCTTAGGCACTTTTCTTTTGCAATGTTGAGCAGTGCTGTAAAAAAATTCATTTCGTATTGTTAAAATTAATTGAACTCGAATAAATATCTTCAGATTCATTCGTAGTTTCTTTTGATGTCAGGTAACAATGTCATTTTATTTGACAGATAAATATTTGAAATATGAAACCAGACTTGGACAATTTCATTTCTCATAGGACAATTTCATTCATAGTGAAATAATTTAAAATCTTTGACAGATTCTCCTCCAGTTTTAAAAAAAAGTTGGAAATGGAAGCTCTGTTCCTCTTCTTGTGAAAGTAGTATACATGCAGCATTACTCACCTCCCCCCCCCCAAAAAAAAGAACTGAGTGAAGCTGTCTCTCCTCATCTTAATGATATTCACCCTTTTTGATGACAAAAGGAATGATTTAATAGATCTTATGGCTTATGAGTTCTGTTGGTTTTGACGCAGTTCTAATTGCAAGCGATTCGTCCATTTTTTTCATGCACATAATGCTTAGGTGTGCTGATGTCTATATGCTCGATTGTTTTTAAGAAGTATAATCTTCAAAGAGGTGTCTATACTTTTGATGCTGATGAACTTCTAAAAAAATTTTATAGTGCCCATAGACAACATTTTTGCCAGCAGTTATAGTTTTATTATCCCCATTTTCCTGTCTGTTAATTATAAAATTGTCTACTTTGTTAATAAGTTTAATATATTTTGGGCTATTAAGGTTTAAAGGTCTGTCCTGAATGAGTTTTTGTGAGATTTGAATTTTTGTAAAATTGTGAATGTTGTGATCAGTGTGATTTTAACATACAAGAGTTGAATTAAAAGTGCTTTACATTTTTTGGTTTTAAAGTCACGTCTTTAGTTAACAGAAATAATCAAATCTTTAATTTTTAATTGTTCTTGGACCTTAAATAATTATTGAAACTTTTTGGTTGCTGAAATCATTCTTTTGAGGAATCTAATTACATTGAAGTTTTCCAGAGTTATCAGAATCTTAATATTAACTTCATCTTATTATTTCCCTTAAATCACGTTTTTCCTTTTTGATTTTTCTCAGTAGACTATAAAGCATGTCTTGTCTTTAATTCAGTTTAGTAGTAAAAATGACATTAAGTGCCTCTTAGAAGTGAGAAATTAGTGTTTTGTTTTCTGTCAGTATGGCCACTGGTTTGTGAAATTTTCTTTACCACTATATAGCTGAATTTTGCTTAATATTAAAAACTATTATTACTGGTATGGCAGAAGAGCCTCTTATCTTTGACCATTGCATTAAGCTAATTCTAATTAGTGTGTTTATGATCTTTAATGTAGACAAATAATGTAATGTATGATCCGTAATGTATTATAAATGTGACAAAAATTACATTTTAATTGATATAAATTGTTCCCACTGTACTTGACAAAAGAAAAAAACATTTTAATGCATCTCATGATTTCTATTTGTTTTTACCATCTAATGGACTAATTTACCTCATGTTTTAGGACACAGTTGATTGACAATCATGTACGTCAGGAACATGAGAGGTGGTTAGCAATAATTCAGCAGCAAAGAAAGCTGGATGAGCAGTCGTCTAATCCTTCACATCTTCAAGCTTATTCAGGCATTGAGGTTATTTGTACTGTTTTTACCTTTTCAATAATAATAAAAAAAAATCCAGTTTTTCTTTAATAAACTTTTAATGAAACTAAGGACTATAACTTCAAAAAAAGAAATAAAAGCTGAAGTCATTCATGTAGTATTTGTAAATCACATAGTGCTAATTTATTTAATTTTTACTTCTAATTTGTGTTCAGGTGTATTTATTTAAAATTAAATTATCAATTGTTTCTTATTTATACATGATTAAGTTGTAAAAGGGAGTTTTATAATTCATTTTATATGGATGAAGGAAATCAACTTTCACAATTTATTGCATCATTTAAAGGCTGATGTGAAATGCTAAACATTTTAAAGTCCACTTATTGAATATAATTTTATATGTATTAGTGTTTTAAACCTTAACTGTGTTCTTTTTTCATAACATGAACAATGATTGCTGGATAAATAGTTCTGCTTTGTGTACTTTTTTATGCTGTAGCATGACAAAGAAATCTTGCTTTCCCTTGAAATGTCATGAAAAAGATGTTCTTTATTAAAAAGTTGTTTTGTTAAAAGAATATCTTTTCCTTAATAGCAAAGACCAGTTAGGAGTGCATCAAAGCCAGAATCTCCTCAAATTATGAGTCATGGTCCTTCTACCAAACCAAACTTAACACCTAGTCCTATAAGTTCCTCTGCTTCTCAAATGAAGAATGAAACTAATTTCAGTTTATATGGGTATCAACCATTTCAGCATACTTACATAACTCATGCACAGTTAAAAGCGAGAGAAGAAACTAAATCATCTGCAAGGTATAAAAAATATTTAATATTGAATTCTAGTGTCAAAACTGTTACCTGTCTGGTGTTTAATTAGAATGTGTTTTTTATGAATTCTTTCTTGTTTAAAAATCTAATAGATGGATATTTTCTTTGTAGTATTCAGTCTGTGAGAATACCAAGCAGTGGCCAGTTGAAACCAGGTATGACTGTAAAGAGTGAAAAAGATACTTTAGCTGAAAGACCTTTAACTCCTAATTCAAACCATACTGGGTCTTCAAATCAAAGTTCCAGTAAACATCAATTAAAAATGATGCTTCCTGGTCAAGAAAGAAGTGGATTAGTATATCAGCCCCTTGTTGGCAGTGGTGGTGCTTTTAAACCATATGAATATACTAGCAACAGTAGTAGTCCAGCTCCTCCTGCTCACCAAAATACATCACCTAATGTTGTTGGCCGAATGGGAACATCTCAGTATCAGCAGCTGCAAGATCAGCCTCAGAATTTAGTCAAAGGAGATGGTAAAGGCATTCAAGAAAAAATGAATCCACATTCTAAGTATGAATCCCGTGATATGAAACATACAGTGTGTTCAGCATCATGCACTTTACCTGCGTGTTTTCCTCCTCAGTATGCTGTTTCTAAAAGCACATCTCCAGCTGCTCATACAACGTATTCATATAGCCTTATACAACAAGGTTTGGTTCCCAATCCTATGTATATAGCAGCAACACATGCAGGGAACAGTACAAGCAGTAGCACACCACCTGTATCATTTGTGCATTCTCAGGCTTCTTCCAAAGCACCAGTACATTCTGGAAGTCCTCCTGTATCTCAGCAGTATGCACATGTTAGTCCAAATTCAAATATTGCAGGTAGTTCTCCTGTGTGTCGTCCTAATTCTGTACCATTTACTTTGCCAACTGGACGTGTAAGTCGCAGTTATTCTCCTGTTGGACTTGCTACTTCAATTCCTATGAATGTTAATTCTAATAAAATGCTTAGCTCCCAGGAAACCCATATACCTAATCGAGCTCATATTACTGTTCAAGGATCCAGCCACAGATCTCCATCACCTGCTCATTTATATAATACACAGTCAAATCCTGGTCTTTCAAACTCTCCACATCAGTCTTCTCCTAGATTAGCAACAATAACCAGTCATCCTTCAGTTCATTTGGCTGTGATTAATGCTAATACAGCACCATCCTCACCTTTCCATTCCAGTTCTGTATCAGAGAATCCAGACATTGCAAATATCCATTCTGGTGTACCATTGGTAAAGAGGAAATTGCTTAATGATGTAGCTGTTAGAAAACGTCCAAAATCTGTAGATGATGGCCTTTTGCCACCCCAGCTTCAGCCACAAGTCCAGACAACTGGTGGTTCTGAAACTTGTGATACCCAGATAGTCACTCCACCACATCTTGTGTCAAATGCTCCTATATTAGCTGAGCACCATCCAAATAATGATTCTTTTCCTATAAAGTCAAATCCACCTTCACCTATTGTAACATCTAATTTAGTTTATAAGTCAGAACCTGTTGCAACACCACCTACAATGCCAGATCTAAGTGTACCTGCAATTCAGTCAGACTTAAATTTTGAGTTAGAATATACTGTAGGTATGCAAAATTACCTTCTTGACAAATACAAAGTGACAGCTAAAACTGTTAGTGGGTCCTCTGCAGATGAAACTTTGGATTGTCCTGTATTAAGTCATACCAATGCTTCAGATGGCCTGACTGTTTCATCTGCATGTTCTGTTGAATCTGGAGATGAACATGCTATTGCTAGCACATCTGTGACTATTTCTGCTGCAAATAATCCAAGCTCTAGTAGCAGTAATCACACTAAGCTGAAAAAAGCCTGGTTACAGAGGCATTCTGAAAACAATGGTAAAGATTTTCCTACAAATGAAAATAGTCCTGATATTAAAACTGAACTGTATCCCAAGCCAAATTTAGAAGATATTGAGACAGATTTGCAGCAGAGTAAATCTGATGGCTTTGCAATAAGTGAGTGTGTATCTGAGGAAAATGATGATGGTAAACTTAAAATTTGTGACGATAGTTCAATAGATACATATGAAAGTAGAACAAATAAGTCTGATAGAAATTTAGATGAGGAGTCTTCTAGTTCTGAGTCTGAGTCTGAATCAGGAACAAAAAATGGGAAAAGAAAATGTAAAGCAAGTCGGAAGCATCAGGCAAATTCTCCAGGCTCTGTTGGCAGTAACAAACGTGTGAAAATTGGTAGTAGTAGTGAAATGAATAATGATGACCAAGCATCACCCAAAAAGGAATATGATGCTAAAAAAAAGACTTCTGTTGAAAAAGATGTTATCATGAATGCAAAGAAAAGAGGTCGTAAAACCAAAGGGCGAAGCATCATGCTTGATGACACTTCTAAAAAAAAGTCAAGTAAGTTTTTTACAGACATTTAAATTTTGAAATTCCCCCCAAAGTTTTATGTGTATATCTATTTTAAATTATCATAAACTTTATTTCATTTGGGCAAATGTTTCATGAACTCAGATCAGTGCCAGCTTCACTTCAAAGTTTGCAGAAAATTTGATAATTAAATGAAGACAAGACTTTAAATTTTTAGTACAGCAAAAGAAGACAACACATTCAATTTTAAGTAATGCTGATTTCTCATTTATCTAATAGATATCTTATTGCCAACCTTGACTCTTTTTCTAGTACCGTTATCATCCATTATGCTCTTAGATAGGTGTAAGTTAGGAGCTGTTTTGTCTGGAGTCCCTACATATTTTCATGTGAAGAGTTTTGTAAAAGTGTGAAACCTGCTATATGTTTTGACATTACCATTGTAAAACAAAAGTTTTTAATATTTGTAGCTTATATATAATTTTTTTATTTAAATTTTGCTAAGTTTTCTTTTTAAATTTTTTAAGAATAAAAACATAGTGGCTCTGAGCCATATAATAGTATGCAGCAAAGAGGATTTCAGAGCTGATGAGTATTAGCAGTCATGAAAGCATCAACAGCCTTCTTGTAAAATCATACAGCTCCTTAGAACTTTACTTCTCCTTAGTATTTGTGTACAGCTTCTTAGAACTTTGAGAGGAATAAGGACAATTGAAATCCATTAAGTAGATTAAAATTCAAATTTCTCTTGCATATATGTACCTACACACGCATTCTTCATAATGCAAAGCCTCTCTAACTTTGCACTGTTATTTAAAGAAGTATGGAGGTCCTGTAGTATTATTTTTATTATGCTTTGTCAATTGTGTTGTTATTTGCTATTTTCTAGTTTATTATTATGTATTATAATTTTAATTGATTAATTCTTAACCCAGCAAGGTGAAATGTTAAATGTGTGCTCATCAATTCAGCAGATGGTCTGGAATAACTCAGTTATAATCATTTATCTAATTTAAATAAGCTTTTATAAGGTAATCTTTTTTTCTCTACTCGAATATTTCTTAGTAAAGAAATGTATAATAGATCTGAGTCATAGTCTTATGACCATTAAGTGTTAAGAAAATGAACACACAGAGTAATCTGTATACCAGTCCTTTTAAACTTATTATGAAACTTCTAAATCATATTACTTTTAGTGTAATGTCTCTTTAAAAGTGCAATATCAGGCTGTCATGGAAGCATAGTACATACAACATTTAATCTCGGAGGAAACCACAGGTTTCTGTTATTCAGAATAAGTATAAATGAGGTTCTCAAAATGATATGGGCTTTGAAACTAAAAAATTAATTCTTACTTTCAACCAATTAGAATTATTATTAACATTAGAGTAGTTATTAGGTTTATGTAGATATTTCTTACTTTTAAAGAGTAAATTGCAAGTCAGAACAATAATGATGAACAATGAGTAAAGCCAGATATATGATTTTATATGCTCCCTTATCACTGGTGTCTGTGAAAGGTGTGTAAATAAGATAGGTGATTATCATAGGTTTTTTTTTTTTTTTTAAATTTTTTTTAGAAAATTTAATCATGCAATGGTTCATCCAGACACACTTGTTGACCTTAAACATCTGGTTAGCTCAAGTGCTAGAACTAAAGACCTCTGGTTTTCACTACAAAATATGTTCGTCTTCCCTCCCATGAAAGCAGCTTTTTGTGTGGTGTTTGCAACTCAGCGATGCAAAAGACTTAACTGTTTGACTGCTAAGCAATTCTTGCAAAGAACACACGACGAAAACTGCGGGGCATATTTTGACTTGATGTTGTCTATTGACTTATATTTTATTATAATTATATTTTGACATGATGACGGAGCAACAAAGACACACTGAAACTCACAGCGCTTCGAGACAAATGAACGCAGCTCTGTTGCGCCGCGTAGTAGTCAAACAGTTAAGCACAGAAGCTTTTTCCATTGAGGGAGCTCAGTTCAGCATCAGAACTCTGTTGAATGTTTCTTTGTTCCTTCGAGATCAGCATCATGTGTATATAGGATTAAAGAAAGACAGTTTTTTATAGCCTTCCATTCTGCTTATGTGAATCAGTATGTGTTTTTATTTGCAAGGTGTATTTTTTTCTTTTGCCTGTTAAAATTCAGAGGTTTAAATTGTTATGAGTATTTAATGAACTGTTATGAATTTGACAATTACAGGCTTTCAATTGGGAAATAATTTTAAAAAGTACTATTTTGAGAAAGTTTATTTTTCCATTATAATTGAAACTATATATTATTATGTATTTGCAAGTTTGCAGTTATTAACAGTGTTATAGAACTTTGTATCCAGGGTATTTCTGTAATGTTTCAAAATGCTATTTGCACAGTACTGCATGAATGAAAATATACAGGTTCTTTCAAAATATCGGCTGTTCCATTGTTTTCAGTTAAGAATGTCACTGTAATTTTACTGAAATAAATTAAACTAATGTGGAAATATATTTTTGTACTGAAAGTTATGTTTTCATAATAAAATGAGCATGTAGCTTTAAACTACTTGATTCCTTCTCATGTTTCTCAAAAAATGTTAAAATATTTTGAAAGAATTTGCATAGAAAGTTGAGTAAAACTGAAAAATCAAACACCCAATGTTGTTTAAAAAGCAGGAGAAGCTAAATATTATGCATTACATTTAGAAAAAAATCAATTGTGTATTTGTGTTTAATTATGCTGTATGTTTCCAAAATTTGTGCATCTTCATGTTGCATAGTAAAATTGAAATCATAAATCAAATTGCAAATCATAAAGGAAAAGTAATAACCTTCTGCTGAAACTAATGGAAACTTTTTACTGGTTTTCTTAAATGTTTTCGTTAATATGTTAAGTGCAACAATTCTTTCTTTGTAATGGTATCTGATTTTTTTTATAGTGTAAATAAAGTACATTCAGTAGATCTGTTTTCTTTTTTGAATGTCAAAATATGCTTAATTTAATGATTTTACTACTTTTTTGGTTACATAATGAAATTTCATTTGAATAAAATGCACAGGCATTTAACTCTTAAAATCAGTCACAGGCACAATCTTAAAATGCTTGCTGAATTTGGTAACTAATGCGTGAGGAGCGCTAAAAAATCTAGATGATTATTTTCTTCCAGATTTGTATTGTTTTTGGGCATGCATAGTATGCGAACCCTACATAGGAAGTTAATTAGCAGTTTTTTCAATGTCTATAAGTAATATATATAAATGACCTAAAAGCCTGTGGAAAATGAGAACAAGTGAATTTTATTTCTTGTTATAAGTATAAAAGTAAAATTCTTAACTGCTGTACAATTTAAGAAACATTAGGCGATTTTTGCTAATAATGAGAGTTTAAAAACTTTTTGATGAATTTAAAATACTTGGCATATGTGACATAAAATTTGACACAAATGAAATCATTAACCCTTTCCGGCATGCTACCTTTTTAGGCCTAGAGGAGTACACGAGCAAAATTTTGTGAAGATAGCACTTATCGTTTTAATTCTGTGGGTGTATCCACTACGCTGATTGAATATAGCTTCGAAAAGAGAGCTGAAATTAGCATTGTTGTCAATGAACTGGCCGATGAGATGCGGAGAAACAAAGAATGCATACTCTTAGTTGTCCTAGATTATCGGTGAGCACACCTAGGGTTCGCCATTTGATTTTAGGCAAGATTTCAAGGTAAAAATTTAAAACTAATATAGAATAAGATTAGCATACAGCCAAAAAAAAAAAAAAAATAATAACATAGAAATTCCTTTCCAAACAATTCCTTTTATACCCTAAAAAAGTCTGGAAGATTTCTTTGAAAAATGAGGGTCTTAAAAAACTAAACATGGCTAAAATATATGGACTGGTTTGTGTTGAGCTCCATCTACTATAAATAAAGAAGGTTCAGAGTAACCTATAAATCCCTTTTCATTCAATTTTTCTGTGCGTACAAAAGGAAATTTTTAGGTGTGTCCAGACCGGACACACTGTGCCACAAAGGGTTAATGGGGAGATTTTATTTGATGGAAATTCTTTGTTCTTGTACTCGATGTATGCAAAATATATTTAGAAAGGTCTCTCTTTTTTTTTCTCTCAAGAGCAGTATAAAAAGTTTTAATTCTATATTCAAAGCTTTCAGTATAAATGCTGAAAGGATATAGGTAAAGAATTAGGGAGCTTTGCAAATTAATGTAATTTGCTGAAAATAAATGTAATGCACAAAATGTCATGCATTTAATTGAATATTTTTGCAGGTTCTAAATATAAAGTAATGATATTAAAAAGTTCAATCTTTAAGAACTAAAGGAAACTACAGGAAAAGAAGATAAAATTTTAGAGAAATAGCTATGTATTTCCTGACATCCCATATATGAAGTTATATATTAAATTGAATAAATATGAGAAAAGGTAATTTTTGTCTGTATTCATTTAATAATTTTCATTTAGAGAATATATGTGGGTTACTGAGATTGCACAGATCAAGTGAAAGAAAAATTTCCTTATTTACCAATACGAGCAAATCATTTCGCTTGATGATGACTCGGTGATAATTTTACCTCAAGCATATTATGATAATGCAAACATTTTTGACAGTTGCTGACTGTAGCGAAGGAGTTTCTGTACACAGATGTGTAGTACCTGTTTATTTCTTCCTGAATAACTGTTTGTGAATATGCTTTTCTACAACATTCATTCTTGAAATTTTAAATGAATATTTCTGTTGAAAAGTCTAAATAAGCAGTTAAAATTTCAGAAATGTTGAACCTATTTTCTGAGTACTTTATTCATTTGCTGAGGACTGGGACTCTTTTCTTCCAGTATGAGGGACTGCAGAAACACACTATGTGCAGCTAAAATTATAAAGAAAAAAGAAATCGGGTAATGGCCAAAGCTAGTATAAAAAATGTGTCCCTGCATCACCTGGTAGAATTAACTAGGGACAAAATTTGGGCAGGCACCAAGAAATAACAAAAAAAAAAAAAAAAAAAAAAAAAAAAAAAAAAAACCTATTGTTGGCAGTTTTTTTTTATTTTTTTTTTTTATTTTTTATCATAGGCTTGAAATTTACTTCACGACATTCCTAGATACTGCCCTTGTTTGTCGGAACCGCTAATGGGTATGGTGGACTTCTGAATCTACGTAATAATTTTGCAAATCTCCTTTTGTGCAAAGAAAAAGATCTTTCATAAAAACCATGCATTTTTCTTAATTGTTTTCAATGTCATGAATTTTTGCTTATGAGTGTTCCAGATATTGATATTTGTTCTTCTAGGTTTTATATCATCTTGAAGAAGGGCTACACTATGTGCAGCTAAAATTATAAAGAAAAAGGAAATAAACTTCTGTGCAAAATTTAAGAAACAATTAATGATTACATCATGAAGTTTGCTATGAAACTTCATATACAGTCAAAAGTAGTTAATCTGGACTCGTCGGGACGATTCCGGATTATCGATTTTTCCGGATTATAGATCATCAGTTTAAATCTGGTAAGATGGCATGCAGAAATTATAAAATTAAAAATATGAAACCGTAATTTATGAAATAAAGAGCAATTACGATCTAAAGGGTATCAAAATTTACAAAAAGAAAAAGCTAAATATTTATTTGTTTACTTTATTAAACATTTCTTTCAATGCAAGTTGTTTAATTTGCTTCGTTTCATGTGATAATACTTTCTCTTTAATTCTATTAAACAGACATAATTTCTTGTTCAGTTACAAAGTTCCGGTGTTCAAGTCCTATAATTGCTGTGTCGAGAATACTGACTAATTTGTCAATCGAAATTTTTTCGTTTTCAATAACCTCTCAGTCACTTTCTTCACTATCGGAAGTGAATTATAATGGCGAGGAACATGATTTAAATCATATCAAAGACCAAGTACATCGAGATGAAATAATACATTTAGTAAAGAATTATAAGCCAAATAAAATAAAAACATCTGCCCTGAAGATAAGGATAGTGCTGACAGATCAACTTCCAAATCATTGCGCGCCGCCGTGTTGTTTCCCTCCCCCCACAGAGCAGCGTGAAATTGATAAACATATTTCGGATTGATTAGGTAATCAAATGATATGCCTTTATCCATTTTTTGCAGCAATTCCACTTTCTGTTTAATGGACTTAGAAACATACTTTTGCTTTGTAGATCCTTTACATATTAGTAAATATATATCGGAAATTCTATTTGACATAATCGGAAGTTCAAGCTTACTTTTATAAAATTGCTCTAACAGTCTGCAAAAAATAATAAGCCCAATCCAATTCGAAGTTTAAGGAAGAACGCAATCTGCAACATTAACTGAAATAGGTAATTAGGTAATTTTAGCTTATACCGTCCGTTATACATTAAACGTGCATGTGTAAACGTATTCTGCGCATGCGCACATGTATATTCGCAGCCGTAAAGGTCTTACACGCACGCGTGAACGCCTATGTGCACGACTCGGCTTTCCAGATGATGTAACATCAAGTTTCGTTTTTGCATCTTAATTAGGTTGAAACAGTCCGTTCTTAATAAAAACAGTGGCAGTGAAAAACGAAGTAGAAGTAACTACTATATCCCTTTAAAATAAGAACTAAACTAGATGGTCTATATATAACTTATGTAAAAGTTAGAATCATTTCAAGGAGGAGAGATGATGCAGAAAAAAGGGTTACAATAGCTCATATTTTCCAACAAAGGTCTTACGCGCACGTGTAAACGCATATGCGAATGCATCAACGCGACGCATGCGCAGAAAGTTTTTAGCTTTGATGTCCGGATTATAGATCATTCCGGATTATGGGTGTCTGAATTAATGACTTTTGACTGTATATACATACGAATTTAAAGAAGAAAGGAAGTTTGAAACCTAGTAAAAGTCATTAAAAACAGGAAATTCCAGAAACACTAGATACTGGCCTTGTTTGTCTGAACCTAATATGAATGATAAAGCAAATTTGAAAATATTTATTAAAAAAAAAAAAAAAAAAAAAAAAAAAAAAAACTTTCCAAACTATAGGGGGGAAAAAAAAAGCTTGTACCAAAAATTTTTGTTAAATCTTCTCTGTTCAAAGCTTCAAACGGAACTTGTCAAGGGAAAAGTGCTTGAAGCCTCCAACCGAGTTGATAAACTAGATCATGCAAACGTGTTTTGTCTGACAAATCCATTGAGACTTTAAATGGTATTAATCAAATTCCAGTTTCCATACAAAATACTAACAAAATTCTCGCTAGACTTGCCCCTTTTCTCGACATGTTTGCGTGTTCTAAAGCATTTAAAATTAAAAAATAGTAAAAAATATACAAAATACGACAATAATACCTAAAAATGAAACATGATTAAAAGTAAATCCAAAAGCAATGTGGCCTAGTAAGTCGAATATACAATAAAAGAATTAAAATATTCAATCAATTCTCAGATATGAAAATTAAACCTTTTAACTGTCCCTTGTAAAAATAAAATTAAGGGTGGCCCGGTTGCATAGAATTAAAATTTTTTTCTTAGAAAACAGTCAAAGACCTTTTGATATAAAAAGGAGGAACTTTTTGCTCAAATTGTAAAAAGGTGTACAAATAAAGTAAAACAAGAAGCCATATCTTGTAGTTGACACAGGCTCTGGCTAAAATTAAACTGTGCAAAATATTCACAAGGAAAGGTTTCCAAAATTCAAAAGATTCTAAAAGAGGGGCTACCAGCAATTAAAAACGGGCAATTTCATCCCATCGCAGGACTTTCCAAAATAAGAAGAAAGTTTTTGTAATCTTGTCGCTAACCAATGGAGGCATACAGAAAAAAGGGGGGGGTGGAAAATGGGGATTATTGGTTATTGGGGGTCATAGTCAGAGGCAACTAGTTCAAGATGGTGTCATTTTTAAGCTGTTACTTCTCGTAATGAACTAAACAAAACAAAATGGCAAAATTTCAGAGTAGTAGTTCCAACTGGACAAAAG